AGAGAGGGAGAGAGAGAGAGAAATGGCAGACAAGCACGCAATGCAAGGCCCGACAACATATTTTGCTCTCACTCTTCAGTACTCGTAGCAAATATTGTGACTTTATAATTCTCGGTTTCTTGTTTACTATTTTGTATTACATTCAAGGATACTCCATAGACATCCTTAGCAGAAATCTGAAAAAGAAAAGAGAGATATATTTGCTAGCACGAACAGAAGATATTGATAAACCAATATAAGAAAATACATAGTGATAATGTGAAAATGATAATGATAATGTGAAACCAGTAATGACCTTTTTTCCAGAGCAAAGATAACCTTATCAACGCGGTCCAAAGATCGTTAAAGAAATACGCTTGGAACAAAAAAAAACAAAACAAAAAAAAATGCTCAGAAAGTTTAATCATGAATCTTATCATACAAGCATATGTATTTTTTATATATAGTAAAAAAAACAAAAAACAACAACAACTCTACAATCATTCGTGAAGGAAATGAAAAGGCGAAAACCAACCAGAAGACGCTTCATGTCTCCCCGGATCTTCTTGTTCAAGAGTATGCCAAAGACGAAGATCCAGACGCCTTGGGAAGAGGCCGTAATGGAGAAGAGAATGGCAGAGAAGGTAGCATCTGCAGGTACGGAAGAGATGGAATGAGTGAAGGATGAACGGATGGAAGAAGTCTGTTTTTTTTCCCTCTATCTTTCTTTTTTCTTTTTCATTTTCTCATTCTGTTTATATCACTCTTTCTCCTTTTATTTATCTCTCTCCTTCTCTTTATGGTCTTTATGGTTTTCTATTTTTTCTTTCTTTCACTTATTCATTCTCTCTCTCTCTCTCTCTTTCTCTCTCTCTCTCTCTCTATCTCTCCTTTCGCCTTTTCTCTCTCTTTCTCTTTATGGGTGAGGGATGGATGGATGGAAAATCTGTTCTCTCTCTCTCTCTTCTCTTACTTTCACTTTCTCATTCTCTCTGGTTCTCTTTCTTTCTCATTCTCATTCTCCAACCGTCCCTCCCTCCTCTCTCTTTCCTATCTGCCTTTCTGTCTATATTTGTTATTGCAGGAAGAGGAAGAGGAGGAGGAGGGGAAAAATGATGAAGAAAAGGAGGAGGAGGAGGAGGAGGAGAAAAGAGCTAAAGAAGAGAAGGAGGAGAAGAAGGAGGAGAAAGATGATCGGGAGGAGGAGGAGGAGGAAGATGAGGAAGATATGGAGGAGGAGAACGATGATCGGGAGGAGGAGGAGGAGAAAGATGATAGGGAGGAGGAGGAGGAGGAGGAGAAAGATGAGGAAGAGATGGAGGAGGAAGAGAAAGATGATAGGGAGGAGGGGGAGGAGGAGGAGAAAGATGAGGAAGAGATGGAGGAGGAGGAGAAAGATGAGGAAGAGATGAAGGAGGAGGAGAAAGATGAAGATATGGAGTAGGAGGAGAAAGATGAGGATGAGAAGGAAGAAAAATCACACTTTACCAAAAACAAGGTGGAGGACGCCCGTGGCCCACGAAAATCCAAGGTTGAAGAAGATGACAGTGGACCCCCACAATCTGTCTTTCAGATCCGAGTCCCTTTTGCGAAGGGCTCTCTTTCTTTCCTTAATATTTCTGATCAAAATACGAATCACCAGCACGAAGATCAGGAAGTTCATCTGATGAGGATTGAATGTAGAAAAAAAACAGTAGAATATTATAGGGTAGTGTCAGTTTCATAAAGTATTATGATTTTTTTTTCTTCCCAAGATGAAAATGTCTATGGTGGTGAATGTGGATGAAATGATAAATATTCGTTGCTGTGAATAATAGTAATTACAGCAAGAATGTGATGCGAGAACCCATGTACGTTAAGGCAGGACTCACCGCCAGTATCACTACCATCGGACCGACCAAGGACCAAAGGACTGCCCCCGAAGCCAACCAACATCTGCAACATTAAGGACTCCATCATTCTCTCTTCTTCAGGAATTCATCATTTGTGTTGCTTTTGCAAGTTAGGAATTTGTTTACTCTCTAGGTCTTGAAGAAAAAGGAACTCATTATTTCAACTCTTCGTCATTAAAAACGCTCTTCGAAAGAAGGCTTCCACTTGCTCTGCCAGAAATTAAATTCGTTTTCTCTACAGCTTATAAACAATGGAAATTCTTCTGCTCCGCAACACGAGGCATTCGTTATCTCTACAACTCTTTAAGAAATTGAATTCCCAAGTTCCCCATCTCTTGTAGAAAAGAAACGTTTCAACCCAATAGCTCTTCAGTAAAAGAAATTCATCCAAGCAACCACTCTTATAGATCTACCACTTACATGCCCTCAGTGCGGTACCCTTGGCCCCGCGTGACGGCCAGGGTCAAGCCAACCACCACGACGGGGAAGCCGAACCCTGCGCCCAGGTAGTACCTCAGGAGCCTCCGCTGCGTCCGCCACACCTGGTGCAGACGAGGGGGAGAGGAAGGCAGGGAATGCAGTACTTGGGATTCATGGGAAGGGGGTCTTTTAGGTCTTACTACTCTTGT